CTATGAAAGAGGAACAAGTTTTACTGGACAAGACTGAGACTGATTTGAAAGTGGATTTAAAAATGATAGGCTATAAGAATGTTATGGAAAAAGATGCTACACTGGATATACAAATGAAACCGGCTGATATCTTAATAATTAAAAGGGATATACAAATAACAAACCAAGAGAGTGACCTGGATAATTTTCCTATATTGGATTTACAAAATAGACTTAAAGTTTTGAAGAATTTTGTGAGAAGGGACAAAGTGAAAAGAAATAAAATTCTAGGACATTATTATATATATCTAGATACACTGTTATCTCTGGTAACCCTTAATGGACTTTGCTGACCAGGACTGAACAACGAGGCTTTAAAGATTGGTTTATAGTTAAGATGAGATATGGAAAGAAGAGATCATTTGTTGTAATTTAAAAGAAGATGATAATTTACTAAAATTGTTTATACTTGTTGTGATGAAGGAGGAAGTTGTTTCTTTATATATTTCTTTTCTTTTTCTTTACTATATTCTTATTTTTCTCTCCTTTCTATTTTTCTTCTTCTTTTCTGCATTTTCTGCATTTTCTATTTTTCTTTTTATTCTTTTCTTTTTTTAGTTTGTATTAGTTTTTATCTTTTTAATTGTAATGTTTAATAAAATTATTATTAAGAAAAAGAAAGTAAAACGGGCCAACCCCAAAAGAAAAAAAAATTAAAAATACTAAACAGGTCTGACAAGGACCCATGAGCCTTCAGGACATACAGAAGTTAATGGCAGCTGAGCTTATAGACATGATGGATATTGTGTGACATAAAGGCTTATAAAAGATGGGCAGCTGGCATAGAAACAAAGGCAAATTGTTAGATCAATGACTTAGTAAAGAGCTTTGGAGATGCATAGGGCCCCTCCTGAAGGGAAAGCCAAGTTTTGGGGATCCACATTGCTGAAGTGGTTGTTTACTTCATCCTGAAATGTCACAAATTCCTTCTAATTGTGGTGGGGAGGGTAGCTCAGATGCTTAGCTGTGGTCATTTGGGGCAGTAGTCTTTGTTCCAATACAGGCTTCCTGGCACCTTTCCAGGGGTGTTGATATTTTGCTGTGGGTTTTTGGCATATTCTTGAATTCTTGCTATGGAAGGTTTCTGTCAGACCTGTTTCGGAAGCACTCTCTGTAATAATTGAGAATAAGTGGGAAGTATCAAAAGAGTCAATAGAGTCCTAGGATACTGTTTTCATGAGGGGAGTGTTTTGAATAACCCAGAATAAAAGCATTAGGTATCAGCTTATCTTACTGGCAATAAGAAGTTAGTTCAGCCAACCAATTTTTTTTCTTTTGTTACTTGACATGAAGGGGAGTCATAGTTAATTTCCCTTGGCAGCCCTTTGGTACCCAAACACAAAATGGTTAATGGAATTGTAAATGGCAGCAAGGTCACTTGTTGTTGACCTCCCAGCCCCAGATTTGTGTGAGAATTGTGCCATTCTTTTGTGAATTTCATGTTTTGCTTCTCTTGTTTACTTTGGCTGATCGTGAATCTCTTTCTAATTCAGTGTAATGTGAGTTTTCCACTTCGCTCAGAGTTCATTATATTTATATGATGGATTAATGCTTGACTGGGTTTTTAAAGATATTGTTTTCAGTTTGTAGTTTTGTTTTTGGGCAATGAGTTGCAAAGAATGCCTGGCAACAACAAAAATAGTAGCCATAACAATAAGTTTTACAGTTAGTAATATATGTTAGCCCGCATATACAGTAATTTGTTTTTGTTCTACCTGTCTTACCACATTTCTGCATCTGATCAGAAATCTGGGCAGGCACCAGAGGAGGAATAAATTTCTCCTTACCACTTGGCAGAACAAAGCAATCAGTTTAAAATGGAGTTGCACAAACACTGTGTTATACCTTGGTAAATAGTGGTTTGTATTCACTCTCAGCCTTTGCACCATTCCTCTGTATGGGTCTTTTCCCACTGATGAGTTAAAATGCTCTCCACTCATCCTTTAATCAGCAGAAAACTTCCCAGTATGAAATCTGCAGCAGCCATTGCTGATCCCAGCCTGCTCTCCTGCAGCTGTTCTGACTCACTGCCAAATGGTACTGTCCGGATTTTGCGCACACAGACCAGGATAAGCAACGTGATTGGTTGATTCCTCTGGCTTTGCTGTCCTCCTTTTTCACCAGGTCACCAGCTGGAGGGGAAAAAAATCCACCAATCATGATGCTGCAGCAGGAATGGGGTGGATCTGGCTGCGGGACTCCATCCGTTATCTCAGAGCCCCTTCCTGTGTCCCATTCCTACATTCCATTTCATCTTAACCAGGGTTGGCTAAAGTTAAATAAAACAAAAACACACCACAATCACAAAGGGGCAGTACTTTCACTTAGGATTTCTTTATCAAATGTATTTTTTCTTCCTTTCCTTTCTTCAAAACAACAAATAACGACTCCATGCTCTCATCACAAGGCAATGGGAAAGTTGGCCCCCTCATTCTGCTGTGTTGCTGTTTGGCAGCGTCCAAATTGCCGGATGCAATACTGTATTGTGATGCAAGCCCAGCTACAGGCATATTCAAAAGGGGCAGGGCTGGCATCATGATGCTCCATTCATCATCTTGTCAATCTTGAATGCAGCCCCACTTCTACCTCACCCCACAAATGCTGGAGTCATCTTAAGGGAGAAACAGTACTTTTAATATTGGTACAGCTAAAAACAATTTCAGCACACTCCTGAGCTGCAAACGTGGCAAAGGCATTAAACAGGTGACAGAATAAAAAGAATTTGCCCCTGGGGCATATTTGTACCCTGGTTGGATGCAAGTGGGGGAAAGTCTCATGTGTCTGTATCTCTCGTACCTTCTGTGGTCCTTGCTTTTTCTATGTATTTTCTTCCATTGTTTTTGTTCATTCTCCCTATGTACTTCTCTTTGTCCTTTAAAACAGCGTGTCACATCACGGGTCTGTCTCAATCCTCTGCATTTATAAAATGGAATATTTAATGAATAGCTTTTAAAACTTTAATTTATTCATAATGCAGTGCATGTTTGAATGCATGTTAGGCACATGACAGTCTGTGGTGGGGCTCACTTCTTGAACTCTTCTGCATGTTTTTTTAGTTTACATTCTCGGCTTCCAGCATTATACATTTTGCATTGTTACACCAGATTCCACTACTTGATGCTAAGGTGTGTTAGGCTACAGTTCCTAGAATTCTCAGCCACCATTTATCACACCAACACATCCAGAAGATACCAGGTGGGGAAATGTTGGCTTTTGATGTATCATGTAGCTGGGATTATTTGATGCCAATTACTTGACAGGTACGTTGTTATAGCTCAAATGTCTTCAGTTCTATATCAAGTATAGTCAATAGTTGCAACCATGTTAAAACTAAAAAAAAAAAAAAAGGTTAATATCCTGTTTCATACTGGCAAATTATAATCCATTTTTTATTATTTTATACACTTCACATTCATGAATGCTCTATTTGCTATTTTACCAGTACAAATTCTCAAGGTCACTTTAATTTGTACCATACTAAACTGGAGTAATGGCATTGGAGACTGCAAAGTCAAATGCAAATGATTTTTTAAACAGCAGCTGTGTAAACATGAGGGAAAATAAGGACTGGAAAAATGGAAGCTTCTTGTATTTGTGATTATATATTAACTGTTCTCTCTGCTGTGTATTATTAAAGAAAGGGTGTCCCCTTGTGATGGAACAAATATGTGGACTGCTTCAAACTCTAAACGGATGTTGTAAAATTCAAGTCAAATTAATATAATTTAAAGTGCTTTGGATGCAACAGACTTGCCCAGATAATATCCAGATAAATTTTTTCCCATTGCATCCAAAGTTTGATAATGAAGGATCTGTTAAATCAGTTTTACTGTATATTCAATTAAAACAGCTGTTATCTCCCAATTTGGTGCAGAAGGTTTAGCAGCATCTATAACTCCCAAATTACTATCAGCACCGCTTTTGAAGGATTACAAATTTATAGATTTTTTAATAGACAAAGGGTATTGTTAAAGATATTAGTTATTTGTATGAATTTTGGAATAAACATTTTAAATATCCCATATTAACAACCAATGATTGAAGCATTAAAGAATATGCAATAGGACTAATTCTTGTGAGCCACCCAGGGTTGTAGCTACAATATGAGCAGCTACTAAGTATTTCAAAGAAAATAAACTTTTTTTCATGTTTATTGGATGTTATTAAAATGTTAGGCTGTCAATTTTATTATATTGGGAAAGTAAAATAACAGAAGGGATGTACATCTGAAATAGACTTTGGGAATAATCATATGGCTTAAAAATTTGTGATTTTGAATTCTATACCAAAACCTGGGAATTTATTATAACAGGAGAAACGAGTTATCGAGCAAAGGATGTAGAAAAAAATTACTAGTTTATCATGAACAGTGCTGGATTTACAATCTTGGATTAATGATTATGCATTCATTCTGTATGATTTACTCTTTATGAAAGTAATGAGAAGTCTGAGCAATATTGCTCTGTGAGGCCAAGTTTTAATGGTGTATATAACTATATGTAAATAGACAGACATTTTTGTCAAGTATATGGATGTGTGTGTTCATACAAGTGGATGTGAATGCATGTGAGAATGCTGCAGGTGAGCAAGGTATCCCAAAAGACCAAAAGGCACTGCCTCCCAGGAAGAATATCATAATAAGATGAGACCAACTAGTTCCATTTATGATCAGAGAGGGAGCAATTCTCCCTGCTAGAAAGTATACTTGGTTCCATATATTAATTTCCCCACTCTGAGAAAACTTAAAGGATCACTTCCTAGCTTCATCCCTTAGTTGAAGGCCAGGAGTTGCTGAGTTGTGTATATCCAAGTTGAAATAAGCATGATCCAAGTGTATCATAATTATTCTTTCTATGTGGTTTGAGAATGATTTCTTTGAAAAGTGAGGTCTAAATCTAAACACACACAAAACAAAACACAAGTTCTTTCAACAAAACATTTGTAATAAGCAGATCCAGAAGTTGGATAAAAGCAAGTAAGCTTGCATTTATTTTAGCAGCTTAAAAGGCACATTTAAAGTATGGTTTCAACTTCTTCGCAGGTTATGGGTTTCCCTTTTCTGTTCCTTGAACCTCCTCTCATGAACAGGAACTCTTATAGGCAATTTGTATGTCTTTATCATGTTCTCTGTAAGGGAGAAAAAAAATCAAACACAATGTTAGATTATGCTAGCATGTATTGGAGTAAGTAGTGCTAAGAAGTACTAGTTATCTGTTTTATTTTATAGGCTATAAGGAGAATGTTAACAGGCTTTTCATAGGATGGGAGATAAAACCAAAGTTTTGCAGTTAAATTTTGCTATATTCCATGTGTTCCTCCAGAGAACAAAAAGACTATCCTAAGTAGGCAATTATTTTCCTCCCCTCCCCAAATTAATTTTATTTGCTCTTAAAAGTGCTTTACATTAGGTGCTTTCATAATTGTTTCTGTGATTAACTTGCTCAATCAATTTTAAAACTATGTAGCAGAAAGATTGAGAGTTTCTAAGGAGAAAACTGATAACACATTCAGATGGACAATTTTTATACAGGACTGGAGGAGAATTTTAACAGAGGACATGGAGACAGAATAAATTTGACAAGTGGGATCAAGCAATCAGTGGAAAGCACCTACTTCCTGGTGTTAGAATTGTCAATTGAATTGGGGAGTCCTTGGGGTACTCTGAGCTTGGTTGTTTTCTGGCAAACATTTCATTACTCAGCTAGGTAACATCTTCAGTGCTAAAATGGAATGGAGTTTGCTGTCTGTTTATATACCCTGCCTGGGTTGGTATCCCCCCGTCCCCCCTTTAGTTCCTTGATTAGGGTATTGTTTACTGCTTGATTGTATGTCTGGTGATAATCTTCCTGTTAATTCTGCTTATCTGGGTGATGATTGCTGGTGAGGAGATATTCTGGTCTTTGTTTCCTTTTTATTATCTCTTTTGAATAGTGTGTAGATGTTGTTTATCTGCCTGTTGATGGGTACCTTGTCTGAATACCAAGCTTCCAAGAATTCCCTCGCATTTTTGGATTTAGCTTAGTCTAAGATGCTGACAGTTTCCCAGTTGAAACTATATGTCTGTCCATGTGTTGTGAGATTAAGGAGTTTTCATCGTGTCTTCTGACCGCTGATTGGTGTTCATGGATGCGCTTTGCTAGCCTTCTGCCTATCTATCCTACATAGTGGTTGTTACAGTCCTTACATTGTATGTTGTAGATGACTCCTGTTTTTTCTTCTTGGCCTACTGGGTCTTTTGGTTTTGGAGGGCTATAGTTGGTTTGTGTGCTACAGAGATGCCATGTGGTTGTAATAGTCTGTTGGTAGTTTGAGATGTTTCTGATATATGGCAGCATTATCCTTTTCATAGCTTGTGTTGCTTGTGTTGTAGTAGGTTGAGTGGTCAGGCACTTTTTGATAAAGTTTTGATAAACCACCAACACAGGCAGGGCATGCCACTGCATATAAACAGAGAGCAAACTCCACTCCATTCTAGCACTGAAGATGTTACCTATCTGGGTAATAAAACGTTTCCAAGAAAACAAACAAGCTCAGAGAACCCCAAGGACTCCACAGTTCAACCCTGAGCTACACATATTTTCTTCTATTGAATTGAATTGGAAATTGATATAAATGACCTAATAAGTATGTGATCCTATTACCAATGATCTGTTAAAAAAAAGATCTACATTTGTGAAGACTGCATTATTTGTATATTCTCCCCCAAAATCAGACAATATCAGAACAACTATTTTAATACAAGGTCACGTAAAGGTCCCACAGAACAGTGATAAAACAGTGATAAAAATAACATGGCTATTCCTGAGTAAAATATCTAACTCTTGAAAATAGTCAGTACTGTATACTATCCTAGAAATAACTGATTTTGCAGTTTAGTGACTCTCCCCTGTCTATAAATGTTGGTCAGACGTTATATCTAGCTACTATACCAGGATGAAGGAATCATCCACTTCCCAATGGGTTTTCAGAGAATCTGGGGCTGAGAGACAGGAAGTTACCTCAAATAGAGAATAATCAATTAGTTTCAAAGTACCTGTTTGTCATACAAAGCATACATTCATTTGCATATGTTTCTCCATCAGTTCCGCAAACTGGATTAAAGTTCCTTGGGCATCCAGGTAGGGAGTACAAATTACACTGAGGCTGGAAATAAACAGATCTATCAATATATTACTCAAATTTTAAAATGCTTCAATATTGTAGTGTAGTAGTTAGAGCACCACCTTTGACGTGAGAGACCAGGGTTCGAATCCCAGCTAGTACCTACCTTACCAGTAAAGATCCCCTAACGCTTCACCTGCCTACCTCAAATATGAGAGTGACATGAACTAAGAGAGTCATGCTGGCTCGGACGTTGCCCGGATTAACAAGGTCCACACCAAATGATGGGGAACCAGGAAAATCTGACAATAAGTGGGCTACTGGAACAAACCATACGTGGATGAGACAAGAGAACCTGGAACTGATGGAATGTTACAGTAGACCTAATGAGAGGGGATATATGAAATGTATGAGGGAACAATGAATGGACAGAAGACCTACATCCACACTGAGAAACAGCTAGTTACCCAACGCTTCAACATAGTGAAGAGGAAGCTGCTGGCACAACTTGAGATAGACCCAGTACACATTACATCCTGGACTCAAGAAGACCTGGAAGAACAACTGAATGTGCAGCCAACACCTGAAGTTGGAATGTCACTGCCACATCCTCCATTATGAAGTACAGCAGCTGATATGAGGCATAATATCATGTATAAACTAGCTTCGGTCAACCCTTGAGACCGATTACCAAGGCTCAATGGAGAAGTACCATCAGACAGTATGCTAGAAGATGCCAATAGAGCCCTCACAACAATCCTTACTACCACCCTAACTCAAACCAATGAACTGGTATACACTGCATCCGCTGTAATCCTGGAAACGCTTGGCTACACAATCAAGAAGAACAGCAGTACATACCCCCCCCGGAAAATGAGGTTGAAGGCTAATATCAAGGCAACTCGGTGAGAAGTTAGTCAGCTGGTGGAATTACAGAAGGGCATGGAGATTAAGGGTAAGACTCAGCCACTGAAAAAATACATGGGCCTGACTCCATCTGAAGCCCTAGAGGCTCACAGCACTAGCTACAAGGCTTAGGAGATACACTTGAGAAGCAGAGGCCAAGAAAATAAATGCCCTATTCTCCAAAGAACCATCCAAAGTGTACTCCCAACTGCAGTGCAACCACACAGTAAGAACAGAGCCACCAGTAGCAGAACTTGAACAGTACTGGAAGAACATATGGGAGAAAGAGAAGACACATAACACCAGTGCACAGTGGCTGCAGGACCTGAGAGCAGCCCACAGCAATCTCCCAGAACAGGAACCAGTCACCATCATAGCAGCAGACATCCAACAGCAGGTCAAGAACATGAAGAGCAGGACAGCACCTGGCTTGGACATGATCCACAGCTCCTGGCTAAAGAAACTAACAGCAGTGCATAAATGCCTAGCAACACAGATGAACCAGCTGCTAGCAGCAGGCTCCCACCCAGACTGGCTAACACA